ATGCTGGGTGGCAGTGGCCTGTGCGCACCATTTAAAAACATCACCAGAATGGGTGAAGCAACCATGACCACCTGTGTGCGTTGCCTATCAAGAAACCCGCTCCAACTATAAAGAAACACGAATTAACAGTAAGTAAATAAGCCGGGTTTTGGTGGCACACGCCTTTAATCCCAGCACTCAGGAGGCAGAGGCAGGCGGATCTCTGTGAGTTTGAGGCCAGCCTAGTCTCCAGAGCAAGTGCCAGGATGGGCTACACAGCGAATCCCTGTCTCAAAAAAAAAAAAAAAAAAAAAAAAAAAAAGGGCTGGAGAGATGGCTCAGGGTTAAGAGCACTGACTGCTCTTCCGGAGGTACTGAGTTCAATTCCCAGCAACCACATGGTGGCTCACAACCAAGCCTGCATGCAGGCAGAATACTGTATAGATAGATAATAAATAAATAAATCTTTAAAAAAAAAACAGTAAGTAAATAGATGAAACGCTCTTGGTCTTGTATGTCTGTAGTTACAGCAGTTGGGAGGTAGAAGCAGTGGGGTTAGGAGTTCAGGGCCCTCCTTGGCTACATAGTGAGTTTGAGGCCAGCCTGGGCTATATGAGACCCTGTTTTAAAACACAACAATGATGAAAAGAGAAGAAATCCAACTGCCAGAAAGTCACTCAGAACATGACCGACTCAGCAATATCCTCAGTCACTTGATCCACTAGCTGGCTGGAGGCGAGTGCACTCAACCACCACAGGGAACACGTTTTTCTCAAGCTCACATGGAACATTCACCAAGACATACCACGTTCTGGACCCCAAATCCACCCCAAATCACCTTTACAATTACAAAACTAGCAGCCATGGAGTGCCTGCTCTCAGAACAAAGTTGACTTAAGCCAGAAATAACAGAAAGACAGTTGGAAGATTTGACAACATTTGAATATCAGAGAACATTTTTCATTTTATTTAAAAGACAGGGTCTTACAGTATAGTTCAGGCTGGCCTCCTGGAACTTACTAAGTAGAGCAGGCTGGCCTAAACTCACAGGGATGACCACCACTTATATCAAGCAACATGTAGATTTGAATTAATTTAATGTAAATGTATGTTTGCCTACATGTCCATACGTGCACCATTTGTGTACACAGTATCCTTAGAGGTCAGAAGAGGCCATCGGATTCCCTGGAACTGGAGTTATAGATGGTTGTGAGCTGCCATATGGGTGCTGGGAAGGGCAGCCAGTGCTCCTAATTCCTGTGATTTGTTCTTGGATTTTTTGTTTGTTTGTTTGTTTTTTTGTTTGTTTGTTTTTCAAGACAGAGTTTCTCTGTGGCTTAGGAGGCTGTCCTGGAACTAGCTCTGTAGACCAGGCTGGTCTCGAACTCACAGAGATCAGACTGCCTCTCGAGTGCTGGGATTAAAGGCGTGCGCCACCACCACCCAGTATTGGATCCATTTCTTAATCTACATGTTGTCATAATGCCTCGTGGCTGCCCGCACCACAGGGTACCAGTAGACTGACTGTAGGGTCAATGAATGGGAATGCTGTATCCCAGGACCCCTGCCTCTACACCAGTGGTTTTCAGTAAGCAATCATTACTCTCAGAGGACTCTGGCCAATGTTTGGAGGGATTTTTAAAACAACAGTGTGTATTTTCCCCTAATGTCTGGTGGGTGGAGGTCAGGTATGAAGCTAAGCATCCAGAGTGGACAGGGCGGTCCCTGCCACGAAGTTTCTAGGCTGAAGGTAGAGAACTCTTGTGGTACACTATGCCCTGCCCCTGGGGATCAACCCAGGTTGAGAACTCTTTTGACATGCTATATGTTGCACCTGGTTATCAGACTCAGGGGCAGCTGGCACTTCAGCCAGCTCCTAACTTCCAAAAGAGACCACAGTCTCGGAGTCCTCATCCTGCGAGTGAGGCTAATTCTAGTCACTTCTCTTCCTCCAAACCCAAGAAAACCCATCTCAGCCTGGATTTTTTCAAGTTGTTTAACTTCTTGTTTTCTCCCATTTCTCAAGAAGCTCCTGAGGCCCCAAAGCCACCATCTGATGCTCTACGGAGCCAAAGAGGCAGGGAGGTTGTCTCAGCATCCTCCCGCTGCCCCTGATGCTCTTGCCTCTGCTCCTAATCGGTTTCCTTTGAGACAGTCCTTCACATATGCGACAATCAGTGGGATGACTTGATGTTATACTTCCCTTCATGCCGAAGATAGACATTGTGCCTGCCTGTCTATGACACACTGCTGCTGTGGGCCCAGGGTGGGGTCAAGGATCTTAGAAATTTCTGAAATATTCAAGGGGAGAGACAGGGAGGAAGAGGGAGCAGGGTGGGGGGATAGTTACAGAGATGGAAGGAAAAACAAGGGATAGAAAGGTCAAATGTTAACACAAAGGAGGAGAGGAGAGCTGAAGCTCAGACTTGAGCACAATAAGGGAGGAATGGGTGAGAAAGGGAAGGAAAAGATGGAGACAAGGGCAGAAGAAAAGCGAGAAC